AACCAATAATAATAAAGCAAATACAGACTTGCTCAAACTAACCCAAAATAACCCGTCCGCCTAGTGCGATCCAGTACTCGTAAGTTAGCATTTTATCCAAAAAAAAACAGTCAATTTATTTATAGCGTAGGGTCCCTTGACCGCGCCTTGTTTTTCAAATAAAATTCTATTCAGCGAAGACTAGATCGCACTAGGCGAACGGGTTAGTATGGGTTAATTTGAGTAAGGCTGCATTTTTCTGATTATTATTGATACAATTTGATGTGTCCCTCTTTTGCTTACAGTCCTCGTAGATAGTTAGATACCTCGCGTTGTTGTCCAATCGTGCTTTATTCCAGTCGCGTTTTTGTTCCGTCGCGCTTTTGTCCTTCGCGTTTTTGTTCCGTCGCGCTTTTGTCCCTCGCGCTTTTGTTTCTCGCGCTTTTCTCGCTCGCGCCTTTGTTTCTCGCGCTTTTATGCAGTCGCGTTTTTGTTCCGTCGCGCTTTTGTCCCTCGCGCTTTTAGTATCGCGCTTTTCTCCCTCGCGCAAACGACTGTTGCGCAAATGACACAGAGCCCAGTTTATGGTTCGAATACCAGTTTTGACAGATGAATGAAATTTTCTACCGACATTTTTATTGATACTGTTTTGCTAACTTGATGTCAAGTTAGCGAAATACATGATGTTTTTTTCAAACGCGATATTTTCTTGTAGAAAAAGAGCTAATTAGCGGCAAATTTCCACTCACTCAATTTATCACTACCGACATTTTTAGTGATTTTTTTTGAAACTTGATTTTTTGTAAAAAAAAAGAAGCGACAAATTTTTGGTTTTCACAACTAATTAGCGGCAAAAAAACGGCAAATTTCCATTCATTCAATTTTTCACTACCGACATTTTTAGTGATAATGTCTCGCTAACTTGATGTCAAGTTAGCGAAACAAATGATTTTTTTTTTCAAACTTGATTATTTATGGAAAAAAAAGAACCGGCAAATTTTTGGTTTACACAACTAATTAGCGGCAAAAAAACGGCAAATTTTCATATACCTAATTTTTTACTGCTGACATATTTAGTGATGTTGTCTCGCTATCTTGACGTCAAGTTAGCAAAACACGTAATTAAGAAAAAACCAAATGAGCGGCAAATTTTTTAATTCCACATTTAATTAGCGGCAAAAAAGCGGCAAATTCTTGGCATAATGGAAAATCGATTTTTCGAAGTTGTCTCGCTAAGTTGATAGACATATCAATGTTTATTATAGACCCATGCAAGAAAGACTGGAGGTAGCTGGTTAATAGGAAAAGGCTTTGATACAGCTTGTCCAGTGAGCAAATTCATTCCCAAATCGGACATTCCTGATCCTCACAATGTACAGCTTTGGTGCTGCGTCAATGGGGAAGAGAGGCAAAATGGTTAGAAAATAATTGCATTGTTTCTAGCCTCTAGCGTTTATGTTTTTTTTTTCTAGCAAACACCAGTGATTTACTTTTCAATATACCACATCTGATATCTTTTACGTCGCAATACATTACTTTAGAGCCGAGCGATATTATTTTAACAGGATCACCTCCAGGAATGGGTCCTGTTAAAAAAGGCGATGTTATTGAAGGTGGTATTGTAGGTGGTACTTGTTTAAGATTCGAAGTTGATGCCGAATAATGTATGTTCTTCTACTTGTGGTAATATATTTTTTTCCTAGGAAATTGTTTTTAATCTCAACTAAAACATCATATTTATTTCTTTGTTCATAAAATCGAACGTTTATTTATGTTTCTTTTGGCAAACAATTATTGGATTTCATATATTTTGCACAGTAAAAAACACTTCATAAAGATTTTCAATAAAAACATTGGTACATACCAAACCGTTAAATTATATGAATAATCTAGGACATGGTTTGATCTTGAATCTGGACAATTATCTAACTATTTGAAAATATAGTTTAGTTTTAAAACACCACAACGCCAGCATTATTATTTCATCAGTATCAGATCTATATCTTAAAGTACTTAGTACAGACATGGTCAACTTTGTCGAACGGTTTTGCCATGTTGGTGTATACAGTATGAAGCTGCTTTCCCTCTTCAATAGCAGCTGCTGCATGTTCTGTGAACACAAAGAGGTTGCTGACAGTTTATTTGCCTGCCATAAAGACATACTGTAATATTGAAATCTGTGGTGAAATAAAGTTAATCAAGTCATTATGCAATAAGTACTCATAGATTTTGACAATTACGTTTATCAAACTGATAGGTCTATAGTTCATCACATCATTTATCTTTCCTTTTTTGTGAATGGGAGTAACACTTGCCACAACACTTAAATATGTAGGAAGGTATGCCATCTATACCAGTTGATTTTTTTGGTTTTAATTTTTTGATGCTCACTAACTTGAGCCTCAGTGACCTATGTCAGTGACCGACAAGAATGTAAAACCTCCTCATTCCCGGGATTCACCATCATCAAGGGTACTTGTCTGATATTCTGACTTGAAGTACCTACTTTGCAAATGTCATATTGTTCACAATAATGTAGTGCCAGCATAGACCATTTCTGGTAAGATACCTGTGTGGGATTTTTTATTTTTTATGAAATCCCAAAATTTTTTTGGATTAGAGTTGATATTACCTTCTGTAATCTTTTGATAGGCAATAAACTCACGTTTTGTTTGTATTTTAATGTCCTTACGCAGTTGCGAGTAATGACCTCTCTGTTCAGCATTTGCAGGGCATTCAGTCTACGATGTATCTTGTCTTTCATTTTTACCTTTGCCGTTAAATCCGGCGAATACCAAGGCTGAAGTACATTATGATAATATGTTCTGGTCTTTATAGCATGCTTTGGGACAGTCTTGTCCAAGCATTCAAAAAACCTATCATAAAAGTTCTGGAGACTTTCATCTACATCTCTACTTGAAAATACTGTGGACCAGCTACAATTTTTCAGTATATAATACAAAGATAAGAAACCAGCATTTGAATAATTGTAAGTAAATAATAAAAAAAAAATACCTTAGGGTTGCTATTGCTATTGAGAGGACTATAAATCCTGCAAAATTTCCTCTCATTTGGACTTTTAGTTCCTGAGAAAAAATCGTGTTAATTTATTTAGGGTGATTTTTTATATTTTTTACTTTTTCTGAGGTCCTTTTTTCATATATTTAGGCTTCAAATTCCATAATAAATCACTGTATGGAGTTTCTGTGGTCCCAAATGATTGTCTAGAGTCGAAATCTCCACACAAAAAAATTGAAAGAACATTTTGGAAGGAAGACTGTCCCTTCATCATAGAGCTGGAATTTTCAGCAATTCTCAGGTTGTATCAAACAGTGCAGTGGTTCAGTTAAAATGTTCTGCAAGCAGAACATAACTTGAAAATGCAGAATCGGATTCCATACCAAATTGAACTGAGCTTCCTTACCAATGTAATAATATGAGTTGACCAATGGAGGAATTCACTCAGGTAGACTCCCAGAAACAGCCACGATACCATAATCCGTGGTCTCTAAGAATTCCATGCCCTCTACTGTTCTCAACATTTCAACTGGTTTGTCTTGAACAATATTGGTCTTCTCTTTATTTAATATTAAACTTGGGCGGTAGGTAACTGATTTCTATTTTTTTTTTAGTGAGCCAATCAGTTAAATTTTTTGCTTTCTAAGATCAACTGATGTTGCGAATGATTAAATTCGTGTCATCTGAAAAACTTATTACTCTTTGATTTGGCTCATTTGCACAAATGTATAATTCATTAGTAAAGATATGATATAGTTATTTTCCTAACAAGTGCGCAAAGTGTTACTTTTCCGCACGCAAACACAATTATACGAACGACACGAAGCGGAGTTCGGATACGTGTTTGCGTGCGGAAAAGACACTTTGCGCACGTGTTAGGAACAAATGAAATTTAAAAAAAAAAAAAAACGATAATTTGTTTAATTATTTTTAATTAACTTGAAGGGAACCTATGCATTTATCAAAAAATTACATAACAAAAAAAAAATAACAGAAAATCCTTGTTAGAGCTGTTCATCTTAAAGCGTTTAAATTTGATGAGAAAGTTTGTAGGTTTTTACATATAAATAGAGAACAAATCTGACAATGTGTCAAAGTTAATTAAATTTGGTGTTTGTATAGAAAACTGTGGTATAGATGTTGGCTGATATAGAAATAGAGGAAAAATTTGTCATCATGTGTCAAAGTCGACAGGTGCACTTATTGTTGCTTGACAATTATAATTACTTACTACGCTTAAGGTATAGTAAATGCAACACCGTTGATCTTCTGACTGGAATAGGTAATAACCTCATGCTGATTATCATTAAATGATTATCATTAAACAAGTTACATATGTATTTATAAAGTTACTACACATTACTAATTCCCCTAGTTTTGAAAATGAAGGCTACATTCTTATTGGACTAACTGTCTAACTTTTCGGGATCCCCCTTTTTGTACAAAGGCTTTATCAGTGTTACCTCCAGGTTATCCGGAAAGATGCCACACCTGAGTGAATTGTTTACTAAATAACAAAAACCAGTTGCAGCTCAACTATAGTAACCTTTTTTATTTCCTAGCTCACAAAACTTCTTTTGGTGTCACTGGTCGTAGAAACATTGATATATCGCTTCCCTCTATATCACACTGATGAGCAATTTGATCTACAAACCCAACAATGTTTGGCAATACATTTACTAAAAAAATATTGAACCTATAGTTGCTATTCCATCCGCCCATCCCCTCTATGAGTTTTGTCTTTCCATGCCAGCTATTGTTTTTCCTGAATAGAGTCTAGCCTGTGTTTGCATTCCACTAATTTTGAATTATTTCTCAAATTACATTGTTTTTGAGTTTTTGAGATTTTCTTGTTGTTTATTTACATTAATTTTTTTGCCCAATTTTTGAATGTTTAACTGTTTGCGTAACATATATAACATTGCAGATCAAACTTTTGTGTTAGTTTTTCAGATTATCACTGTGACTATGTACTACAAATATGAATTTCCTATATTTTCTAGATACCAAAAGGTTTCTCAGTCAATGAAGAAATAGAGCTTGCAGTTGTAATTGGGCAAAAATGCAAAAGAGTCATTGAATGCAATGCTATGGACTTTGTTGGAGGGTATTGTCTAGCTCTGGACATGACAGCTGCTGATATAATGGTACGAGTCTCTCTTTTATATTGATTGAACCTTTTTTCAGGGAATTTCTTACAAATCTAGATTATCATAGTTAGGCCCGGTTGTACCAAATAGTGGTCCAGTTGAACTCTACTGGTAGTTACTTAATTTTTCTCATTCAAAATACATTAGTATCAAAAATGTACACTGGCCGATTTTTGCTATCAATACATTTTAGATGGGAAAGTAAGTACCCTGAAACTCGATCATAAAAGTTCAACTGAACCACTATTTGCTACAACCGGGCCCTAATGGTAGAGTAATATGTTTGGCAGGGGTAAATTTTAGACTTTCTCTGTATTTTTGAGAAAATTGGACCGTTTCCCCTTGTTGCCTCATTTCAAAGTTTGAGGACAATCTTATCTTCCACCTAAAAAATAATCCCTCTTCTATCCTTCACTCACTGGATTCAATTCCTATCAGCCCAGTATGTTCATTGTGGTAAAAAATTTCCTTCACTGTTCCAAGTCTCCCAACCATGATGACTGCGTCAACAAAACAATACAACTGATTTATTAAATACAGCTGAGAAAGTTTAAAGAACCAAACTGCTGAAATAAACAAGATTCAAGGCAAGGATTAAAGAACAAGATGAATTGAGGAAAAGACCCGATAGTGCAAGAATAGTATAAGGCGCCCAAAAACTTTCCTTATTTCACTCTACTCTCTTTAGAACCAACATTTAGGGCCGGTTCGACAATTTAAGTATATCCTTGACCTTAGTATAGGCTTATACCCTTGGGCTATACCTACAATAAAAGTTCATTTTAGAACCCAAAAATGAACTTTTTTACTAGGTATAGCCTATACTCAGGATATACTTGAATTGTCGAACTGGCCCTTAGTATACTTTCACTTCTCTGTTACTATCACATAATATGCAATATAATACAGAGTGCCTACTGTCCTATACCAACTATATCAATATTAATTATAGGCCCATGCAAGAAGAACTGGAGGCAGCTGGTTAATAGGAAAAGGTTTTGATACAGCTTGTCCAGTAAGCAAATTCATTCCCAAAGCTGACATTCCTGATCCTCACAACGTACAACTTTGGTGCAGTGTCAACGGGGAAGAGAGACAAAATGGTTAGGAAATAATTGCATTGTTTCTTGCCCCTAGCGTTTATGTTTTTTTTTTCTTCTAGCAAATACTAGTGATTTACTTTTCAACATACCACATCTGATATATTTTATGTCGCAATACATTACTTTAGAGCCGAGCGATATTATTTTAACAGGATCACCTCCAGGAATGGGTCCTGTTAAAAAAGGCGATGTTATTGAGGGTGGAATTGTGGGCGGTACTAGTTTAAGATTTGTAGTTGATGCTGAATGATGTACGTTTTTCTAGTTGGTAATATATTTTTCCTAAGAAATTGTTTTTCATCTAAACTAAAACATCATATTCATTTCTTTGTTCATAAAATTGAACGTTTATTTATGTTTCTTTTGGCAAACAATAATTGGACTTCATATATGTTCCACAGTAAAAAACACCCGAACAATAATTAAAATTAACAATAAGCATTTATTAGTTTTATCATCATATAGCTTCTTAGCATATTCTATCAGTTTATCGGTAACACTCAGTATAATCTACATACATTTTTATTTTGATATAATTCATAAAGATTTTCAATAAAAACATTGGTACATACGAAACCGTTAAATTATAGGAATAATCTAGGACATGGGTTGATCTTGAATCTGGACAATTATCTAATTATTTGAAAATATGGTTTAGTTTGGAAACACACATCAGATCTATATTTTAAAGTACTTAGTACAGACAACAATCAAAGAGTATAAAAAGGGCAATAATTCTAACTTTAATATAATTATGATTAAGATCTAACGCATCATCGATAAAGATTTATAAAAAATTAAGTGCAGACATCTATATACTTACATAAACAATATTCTCATGTATCTCTATCCAAAAATCATTTTCAAGATCTAGATATCTGCACTAACCCAACAATAATTCCTAAAAGTTTTAATTCAAGCTTTTTAGGAACGATAGAACTAAATTAGTATGACCCTAATATTTAACAAATAATTTTTAAAATTAAATGATTCGATTTTGGTTCAGTCTTTCATATAAGCTTGGCTTTTCCAAAAAAAAAGCTTATTAATATGAAAGCTTAGGAAATGATATACCATTTATATACTTAATTGTAATGTTAGGCTCACTATGGTAACTACCCTATGTAAGGACGTTCAACATCCAAGAACTAGAAATATTTGGCTGTGAAAAGGTGTCTTGATTGATTATCTACCTTCCTATTCCCAAAACTAACCAGTCTCTTCTAACAAATATCTAAGTTTCTTTTGATATGACATTCCAAATGAATCAAACCATTTTATAATTTAGAACATAAAAAGTAGTGAACTTTTTAAAAGTACCTCATCATTACAAGCAGTTTGTGCTAAATTCAGTTGGGTTGAGCTGTATAATAAACTAAATAAATGTTTAAAAATATGTCACACATCTAACGTATAATAATAATTAAATTATCACACAAAACAAAATAATACTTAAATAAAATACAATAATTATTATTTATGTTCACCTATTTTTGTTTTAGCTTCTTCTTTTATCATACTGGCGTTTCATAAGGGTTTCTTTTTGTTTGCCTTCTTAACACGTGGCAGGGTCGCACTTGACTGATCCTAAAAAGATTATAAAATATAACTAGGTATTTATTAAAAATTTCATCTTTAAACACAGCCACTCGTCAAGGTAATGTGTCCATTTATTATAACCAATACAAGCCTTCTAGTTCTAATGCATAGAAATTTAAAAAAAGTATCACTTTTTCCATATAAGCTAAATGGGCACATACCTTTGTAAAACAAAGTAATGAATTAAACAACTATAAAAAATGTCATAAATCATTGCAAAAATCGTTAACATCAGCAAAACGTCACACAACAAAACGTCTATCATGCCTGATTTTGAGAAGACTCCCTCTACATCTATAATCTTAGTCAGCGTCGTTATCGACATATCTTCTGATAACTTTCAACCTTCTATGTGGGGATTCTGACAAGTTCTTGATCGACATTTGACTTCCACTGCGCTCAATTGGTTTTTCCACTTTTCCAATTTCTTCAATCGTATCTAGATTACTGGTACTCTTGGAACGACTTCTGTTGCTTAGAAGTTTTTTTGAATTGGAAAACACTTTTTCTGTTAAATTCAAATGGGCCATCCTTTGTGGTATCCTTAGCATTTTATTTATCAAAGCTTTATTTGAGGTTGTCGATTCGTTACTACTTTTAGAACTCGTTGAAATGGGACTTCGATTTCTCGATCGAGACCTTCTCCTGACTTTTGGCGAATAATTCAGAAATATGTCTTTATTGAGACTCTCAAGGCTTCGTACTAGGCCAGGCTGTAAGACTAAAGTAGCCTTGATAGGGGTAGCGGAAATGTTGTTTCGTTTAGGAGGCAAGGGTGGCAAAGGGGCATGCTTTTTGTTATATTTTCCTCCACGTTGAGGACAAATTTCTTGATTCGTAGTTGTTGATGCAAGAAATTCTAATTTAAGGTTTGAATTTTTTTTTGTTAAAGGGGTTTCAGTACCTTTGTGGTCTGCTTCCTTCATCATTGAAAGTGGAGTGTCTTTTCTAGTGGTTCCTTCTTCATTGGTTTGATTATTAGAAGGAAACATAGACGAAGATAATTTGGTTAAATTGAAATTTAGTGATGAAGAAGAATTATTGTCAATATTACATGCTGTTATTTTGCTTTCGCAATCGTACCCAAGAATACTAGTCGAAGAACATTCTTTTCCGGATGTTATTACATTACTGTTATTACTACAGCTTCTTTCCGAATTGTCAAAAGTTTTACCATGCAACTGAAAACCGTTATTTTCGGCAATATCAAAAAACTCGTTCTCACTAGATGATGATTCGTGTTTATTTGGTTCAGGATTTTTAAAGAGTTTATCGATTTTCTTGGCTTTGTCATTTAGGAAAATTATGTTGGTGTCAAACAGTTCATTTTCGTCACTATCCTGCGAATGTAATTAGAATAATTGAAAATAAATTTTCCATGAATAATAAAATAAATTGCAAATATTACTTACGTCACTAGCTGCATTGGTTTTCTTTGGTACTGAAGACCTGGTAACTCTAGTGGAACGAGATCTTGTAAGAGAGTTGGCTCTTTGACTAATGCTCTCTCTAGGCTGCAGTTTTGAAGGCAGGTTGTGGGCAGAGTATAAACCTTCGCCACTAGAATAGCCTGTAAAAAAATCTAAAAATTGGTCCGTTATTTCATTTACTACATTGCAGTTGCCCTACCTGAACTTATATCTTCCACACTTTTGACAGATACTCTATCTGCAGGAAGCTCTGCGGCTACTACATCGACTTCTGAAAAGTAGACAGAAGCGGAGGAAGCCGAGCTGGATCTGTGTGGACTGCGACCAGGTTTACGTCTAAAATAAATTAGGCACTTGAAATATCGATCACATTTGGGGATTAACAAAATAATTTTTTTGACTAGCATTATTTTAGAACTAAACTTACCTTCTGACAAATTGCGGATCAGACACCAGAACATCGTCTGCTTCATCGTTGCCAACATTATTACCGTCACTGAGGTCACTGAGACTGTAGGACTTTTTTAATTGGTTAACTATTCCACCACCACCCTGAAAATAGAATTATTGAAAATATGTATGTCTCAAAAATAAGTGTATTAATGTGCTTACTTACCTAGCTGTGAAATAAAAACCAAACCTAACACCAATTTTAAAGCCATGCAAGCACAGCAAAACAAATTTAGTAACATAATAGCGGTTAATTTAGTATGAATGTTTTATGTTGAAAGAAAATACTAAAATTTTCAACATTTTGTCCTAAAAATATTTGTCCAGAAATACTGACTGGGTATAAATATGCAAAATAAGTAAAGAAAAATTGATCAACACTTTTTATTTGGAATTATTCTTACAAAATATCTTAAACACTACCTTAAGGCACATACAAATTGAAAAATTATTTAAAAAAGGCTTATTTTCAAAATATTTTTTATTCTAACTAAAAGCTATTAAAAATAACAATCAGTCCAAAAACAAATAAGAAATTTTTAAAAGGAACAAAAAATGTAATGACAAACTGAAAATAATAATAAATCACATAAACAAAAGACTAAATAATATATATTGCCAGGACAAGAACAGGGCATAAAAACCAAATAATAATAAGTACAAAATAGACGAGATTCATTTAAAAAAAAAAAGAAAATATACAATTTTTCATTTTTCTCTTGTTGTGCATTGAATCGCATCCTCTAGCATGAAAAATCACTGTCGTTCTCAGTCTTCACCTCCTTCTTTTTAGTACGTCTGGTAGTTTTACCCTTAGTAGCCTTTCTAGTTTTAGGCTTTTGAATTGGCTCCTCAAAAATTTCCTCATCTTCACTTATGGTATCATTAACTGGAAATCTGTCCACAGTAATAAAATCGTCATCGTCAGGAAATAAATAATCTTCTGGTGTTTGATAATGTTGTCTGAATTGTGGAGCTTCGGAAGGGGCTCGGGTTTGCCTGCCAGTTCCAACAGCGTCTCCGACTCTCGAAGGAGCTCGGTTTTGCTTGCTAGATTCAACACTATCTCCTTCATCTTGGCCGAGTGCACTTACTTGTGCGAAACGGCTCACTAGACTTTGAGCATTAACTGACTATGTGAGAAAGAAAAGGTTGTGTTATATGGGGATTAGTAACTTATTAATTCGTCGCGGAATTTATTCAGCAATCTTTGGCTGGCAGACCAGATGTCAGACCTGGAAAGCATGTATTCAACAAGAAACGAAACTCCTGTCTATTAGGGCAACCTTAAAAAACACCCTATTGTTAGTATAAAGAAACGGAAGAGAAAACCCTGGTATACAAAGGCAAACTTCTGCGTGAAGTATGTGATCCCTTCTTTACATAAGAAAATTCTCCGCATGGTTTACAGAAGATCGATCAGGCTTGCCCAAGTGAACTTACTCTCAGAATAGGATGAATAGTTCTTGGAAAGAGAAACTTGGAGAATTGTGAATGACCTGAGGGGTAGGAATAATATGTTGGTCACTTCAAGTAATCTGAATCTGATGACCTAAATTCTTTTTACTGCAATATTGTCATTGAAACTTAGCCAAAATTTCAACAGAGAGTGATCCCAGGAGCTATCTAAAATATCTAGTGGTGGCTGAATCTTTCTTTTTTCGAAAAAGGCTGCGGCAGGTTGGGATGGGCTCTCATTGGGGGTATTTTTGGCTTTACCCAGGCGTTGCAGGTTCTTGCTGAGACACGTTTTTCTTGTGTCGTGGGTTTTTCCGTCTTGCCTGAAGAGAGCAGTGATCGTCCTTCTATATAAGGGTGATGAGCATGACTGTCCTACATTTAGGCCTATAGTATTGTTGCCTACCCTGGCTTAGGTTTTGGAGCGGCTCGTTAGGGTTAGGATGGTTCAATTGTTGAACCATCGTGGCCTATTGAGTACGGGGGGATGCCATATTTGACTTTCTTGAACACCTTTAAAATAGTCTGGTGTCTTGTGATTTGTCAAAGTCTGTTAAATTTAATGGTGGTACCTCTAGGGAACTTAGTATTAGTGTGGGTTTGGTACTTAGCTCCCTGCTTTTCCTCATTTATGTGAATGATCTACCACGACTCCAGATAACAGGTAGATTGACAGTATTTGCAGACGATACCACTATCCTCTGGCATGATTCAGATGTTTGTAGAATGGAAACCAATACGAAAACGGATCTGCCTAAAATAAAAGGCTGGTATGATGCCAATTCTCTAACATTCAATGTCTCTAACACCAAAATCCTCAATTTTAGAAGATGTTTATTGTTTTATTGTTCCAATAGTAGGCGGATTAACCGATGTAATTATTGATTACGTTTTTTTACACATTGTTTTAGGCTAACTCTTATTTGTATCACAGTTAAATTCTATCAGTTCACATGTTTATCACAGGCAACAATGTTAAGATAAAAAATGTAGAGGTTGTCACAGACTTCAGATAAGCCTTTGCTACTTATTGAAGTGCACCAATTGATCCGCTAGGTTTCTATTTTCATTATCCAATGACACTTTGAACAAGTTTATATTTGGTTTACTAAAAGTTGTCTCACCCAGGGCATACCATGTGTACACAACTCTGTTTGAAATAAAGTTTTTTCTTGGCAGCCTGTTGTATTTTTCTTTATACGGTTTTTTGGTGTGGCCTCGGAGTTGGTTAGATTGACTTCTCGGAAACAGATCCATTTCGCAGGTGTAGCTACTTTTTAGAATTTTGTAGGTTTCAATTACATCTCCTCTGGATCGCCTTTCTCATAGTGTTGGTAGACCAAATATTTTTAAGCTTTTAGGATAGGGCAGATCTCCTAATTCCGGTGATATTTTGGTTACTCTACGCGGCACCCTTTCCAGGAATTCTATGTCACCAACAAAGTAAGAATTCCATACTGAGTGTGCAAATACAAGTTTAGGCCTCGTGTAAGTTATGTATAGTTTTTTAATAATTTCAACAGAAAGGTTTTTGAATGCTTTTCTACACACATACATTATGGAGTTTGCCTTCTTGACAATTTTATTCCCATTTAAAGTCACGTTATAACAACTCCAAGGTCTTTTCGTTGATTTGTATGCTGATTTAGATAGTAAGTAGTCTGTGGGTTTTTTGGGCCTATAATTAGCGAAGTGCACTTTTTCAAATTTAGTTTCATCTTCTAGGTATCTGTCAAGTTTTTAATGGGTTTGTGTACAGCTTTGTATCATCAGCAAAAAATGATACTGAGGAAGTTATTTTATTGTGGAGGTCACTTATATACACCAAAAATAAGAGTGGTCCCAATACCGATCCCTAGGGCACTCCGTTCACTACCCTGTGTTCCTGGGAAAGAATTCCATTTGCTCTGACCCAGTAGCCTTTGTTGGTCAGAAAACACCTGATGAGCCTCAGTAACTGCCCCCAACCCAGTGCTCCAGTTTAGCCAAAAGTTTTCTGTGGGGAACCTTGTCGAATGCTTTTTCGTAGTCCAGATATATAATATCAATAGGATTTCCCTCGTCAAAATTCCTAGTCCAATCATCTAAGCATAAAAGAAGGTTTGTTGTAACGGACCTCCTACTAAGGAAACCATGTTGAGTGGATGGAATTATATTATGTTCGGTTAGGCGTTTTACAATAACTCGTTCCAGACATTTGCACTGGAGACTTGTTATAGGCTTATCGGTATGTAATTGTTGGCACTGCATTTATTTTCACTCTTATAGATGGGAATTACAGTAATCTTTCTTCTAAGCAGATAATAAAGTCCCCGAATTGATGCAGTAGTTGAAAATATTTACCATAGGCTGCACAATATGATCAATACAGTTTTTAAGAAAAACTGGTGGAAGGTTATCAGGCCCTGGGCTTGAGTCAGCTTTTAGACGTTGTTTGACGCTGTTTCTTTGACTCCCAGGGTTGAGATTTGAATTTCACTTATGGATTCATGAATTCTGGTGGTTTCATCTAATTATGGCAGACTTTAATCGTCCAGCACCTGAGTGTAAACACTAGCAAATTTATCAGCAAAAATTTCGGCAATATGTTGGTTGGATGTTATTTTATCCCCAGTCGGGGAGATTTCTACTGACATACTTATATATTGTCAACTACTTAAGTAAATACCACTCTGTACATCAATTTTACTGAAGTGTGTCGACGAGTCAGCATTTATTTGGTATAAATAACGCGCCGAAATCCATTACCAGCAGACTAAGGCTAGTGCAAAGTACCTCAAACGGGAAAAGCCCCTCTAGCTAAATCTCCTCCCAGTGCAACCTACCTTTAATGGGAAACGCCCTTCTGGGAGTATTGAACGCAGCAGACTAGGTCCAGTGCAAACTACCTTTAGTGGGAAACGCCCTTCTGGACCTGTCTCAAACCCAGCTTCAGTCCTTCAGTCACGCCAAGTGTACATAATACAGAGTGGCCTATAGGTAGAACGTCCCTCCATAGAAGAGACGTCATGATACTATTTCTAGGGTAATATTATTATTATTCAATACATTATTTTATTGTACTTATACCAAGCGAGTTTCTCTCTACCTGAACCCCACCTACCCCCCAGGTCACGCTCGTGTTGTGACTGACGTCCGGACGAAACGTATAGGGGTTGTGACAATATATAGTATTTTTAATACCTATTTAGAAGTACCTGTCGTTTTAGTGACAAAACGTGTGTCGCTTCTTGACACACAAATAAAATTAGGTTAGGAATTTCCTATTTGTAGATGAAATTGACGTATTAGCAATCGACGTTCGTTTTTGTTGGTAATTTTTTGTTTCATCTGATTCGTGATTGATAAATAAGGATGAGGTTATTCTAAATGGGTATTACAAATACTATATGTTTTGTCGACTGTGCTGTTAAAAGGCCTTTTTCGTAGTTAAATATTGCAGTGTTTAGTTTGGATTTAGGGGGGTTATTTTGTTGTTGGTATGCTCTGTAGTCTTCAGTTTTTCTACTACGGCTATATTTGTCCCACAATTTTTTTATTTTCATGATTTGACTTTTGTAATTTGTGCTTATTGTTTTATTCCTGTAGCGCACGTATAATGTATATATATATATATTTTTTACCGTCATTTTAATTTAATTTGTGTGACATAATTATGTGAGTGATAGGTAGTTGACGTCCGTGACTACTTCTAAGTTTTATTTTTATTTTTTGTTTGTTTTTGCCTCAGTTTTTACAATTCTTTGTGTTGGTTTCGATTGTTATTTAGGTTTAGGTCTCTCTGTTTCACTAGCCTTGAGAAAAATGTCTGATACAGGATTTCTTGATGCAGCAACCTTAATCTCTAATAATCCAAACATGGGTCAGTTCCTGCTCATCCCCAATATATTTATTCTTTTAAAATTGAAGTCTGCACTTATACAGTTTGAGGGGTGGCAAAGACCACATCATAATTGGCTTGTTTATAGCCATATAAGGCAGCTTTGCCTAGAAATCTCAACAAGTCCATGGTACAAAAGGTTCGATTATGCTGCTCATTTAACAGAAAAAATACAATCATGCAAAATAAGAATAATTGTCTTTCAACCAAAGATTGCAAAATAAACTCGAAAGGCTGTAGGCGTGAGGCAAATTGAGTAGTGATTAAATAACAAATACATGCAGAAAAACTTGTGATGAAATTTGAGAGAAAAAAAGCAGAATTAACCACAATATTTATTTGAAAATTTACTCACCCTTAAAGCAGTTTGCATGAGTACTGTCACACCCTTCTGCCCCAAGTCCAAGACTTGCCTGTAGCTTTGCTCTCTTGCCTTGGAAATATAATCATCAATTTCCTAGAAAAAAATAACTAATTATTGTAGGATCAATTTAAAAAAATATATCATTAATGGACCATGAAATTATACTCAATTTTAAGCAATGATATTTCAGTTCCAATTAACAAGGTTAAAATAATGAAATCTCTTTAAGGAGTGCTAGAAAAAACTTACCTGTTCCCTACTGCTCAGCATAGGATGAACAAATTTCCTGTACAAGATACTGGATCCTTTCGTAGCCGGTGAAAGCAGCCATATCACCAGGATTATTTTAATTTCGTAGTAAAATGGGAACCTAAATCAGTGAAAATGTTTGAAAAGTTTCCAAGTGAAACTTTGGAGCAACTTACCAACTAAGGAATATGTCGGTGATAGTTTCTGTGCAAGTAAATAGAGCAAACACTATCCAATACATCATCCATTTTACCTAAAATATTGAAAAATTATCATCAATACTATCAAATTAAGATATTTATTGATAATCTATTGGGAATATTTAATTAATAACAAACAAAATATTTTTTTATTACGCAGCATTATTATAACGCAAATCTACAATTTGTTTTTCAAAACCGGTAACTAAATTTGTAACTACAACAAAGAACTGTTCTGCTCGAGAGACCACAAAGGAAGTTTAACACATTTCTTTGGTTTGATGTGTCGCACTAGCGCATATTAGGCTAAAAATAAACGAGCTTTATAAATGCGCATTGAGTTAGTTAGTGATAATTCCTACTGGGTAATTACCAATTAACAAGAGCATTGACTTTATGTACTGATTTTATTTTCTTGCTGTATTGATCAAATGGATTTTAGAGGAGCCTGTATAAATGAGATTTTTTTGTACTAAATGATTTCTACTTACATATTCTCGGACGTTTTTTGTCTTCACAGCCTTATAAGAAGAGTAAGCAGGGTAGAGAGTGCCGAATACTAATCTGAAAGCAGGATAAATAAAAATATAAGTAATGGCTCTGTTGAAAAAAAATCCGAACATTCCAACTAAAATTGATGTTTTGAAGATGGATATATTGGCCAGTATTTTTGAGATATTTAGCATTGGATCCTGGATGGTACTTTGACTTAAGTCACTTTTTGTGTTAGAAGGTGCAGCACTTTGATTGGGTTCTATAGTCTGTTTACGTCGGGAATCAAAACTAAAATTGTTTTCAGGATTCACTGGGTTATTTTGTTCATTTTCACTATTGTCGATGATATTCAAAAAGACTGTAACTTCGATATAGGGGATAAAGGCATCACTAGAAGTCAAATCTGCATGAGAATGAGTAGTTTTTCTTACACGTCGATCACGCACTTTAAAATTTGTCACCCAGTACACTGGAGCAAGTATAATGTTTAGTAATTTTCTAATGCTGAAAACCTTTTAGAAAATAGAAGAGAAGTTTTTGAGGAAAATTTATGATGTTTGATGAATAATAATGATTTTGATAGATGTCATATAATGAAAATTTGAAACCTCTATTTTATAGCCAATCAAAAGTTCTTAGTTTAAAACTTTTTCATGACAACCAGGAAAAGTTCCGGACATTTTTTGGTGGAAATTTCCCTTGTGAAAATTACACTGGAAATTTTGCATACAAATTGTCAAAATTAATAAGTGGAAATTTTTGGAAATATCCCGGGGAAAATTTCCAGAATTGTCATTTTTGACATTGATGCCCGTTTTTCCATTTAAAACGCATTGATGTCAGAAATCTGTCAAAGTGTATATTTTTAACAAACGCAATTTATCTGGAAAAGATCAATAGCAATCAGCACCAATAAAAGAATTGGACACAATGTAGTAAATAAGCTTCAAACTCGGGAAATTTCCTATCAAAATATAACACGTGCATACAATATTTCTTGGGGAAATTTTAAAAAATTTCGTCATTAGCCAATTTTTTTAAACAAAACCATTCGTGCATAGCGCCAAAGAAAAAATCCCTCACCCTTCGGGTTCGGGATTTTTTCAGGCGCTATGCACTCATGATTTTGTTAAAAAATTGGCTTCAGACAAAATTTTCAAAAATTTCCGGAAATATTTTATGCACTAGTTATATTACTACTGGAAATACACTGGAATTATTCAGGCACTTCAGAAGAAAACAGAAAAATATTAGCATGAAGTTAAACCTAAAATATGTATGTTAAAACGTATCCATTTATTTCTTAAATCCAAAACAGAGCCTTAAGACAAATGCATACATTGTTAAGACAATACATTTACTCTTCACTCAATTGAAATATTCTTTGATTTGAACTTTTTGAAGTGTACTGAATTTAACATTAGGGTCATTGTATGTTTAGCGAGACAGAATTATTGGTTTAATCAAAGGATTTCATATCAACACCTAATAATTATTCTCGACTAATATGATAGATGGTGAGCTTCAGATTAGTTAACTAAAAATATCGGCACATTTATAAAAATTGTCTTGCTTTTCTTAATCTGGACATATTAGACACGTAATTCGCACTTTAAAAAAACACAACTGAAGCAACATTTTCAACGCAATACCTATATAAAGCATTTCGAATTAATGATTGGTATATTGTTAAAAATTTAATGTACCATATAAAATTAAATGAATCGAATCATTGCTGAAATAACAATGTGATTATTTTTATAAAATTGAGAACGGCTTTAAGTAAGATAAGCTGGTTAATAGGTTACTACTACCGGAAATCACTTAACAATATAATTTTAGTGTAGGAAACAAAACGACAATTTTCACCCGAAAACTTCAAGATGCCAAGCAGTACTGACAGGCTAGGAGAATAAGTCCGATCTATTTTCGGCGGTTTATGTACAAGTTCTTTGCTCTGAATTGCGCCGTTTTATTTATGTAGGATGTCTTGCACAGAATTAGGGGGTTGACGACCCAAGGAGTACCACAAACGATAACGCTAATTTAACCATTATTTTTCCATTGCTTAATATTTGTATGAATAATGTTTAAATTTACTGTTAAACTAAAAATATCTAGGACAAATACCCATTCTCGTTTATATCCAGAGCTCTATTTACTTCTATATTTATCATTAAGGAGTTTTAATGTTCCGAAATGAGAACAAATTATTGTGAAAATGTGAACCAACTATCAAACTTTACATGATTTGCCAAAGTTAAAATATAATGAAGTGAAAAAGATCAATGGCGCCAACTCGATTTGCATCTTTTAATCGATTTCGTGATGTCAGGGGTGAATATACTCTGTACCCAATAATAAATATTATCCTTTTGGATTTATAAAACTACAATAAGTAACCAGAACAAATTCGTGAAACCAAATAAGCGCACGTAACTACAAATTAGGAACCGGAATACGTTTTTACAGTTAGGTGACTTTTACTTCCTGATTTGGTACCCAAATTGTCGCAAATCATAGGTATATCATAAAATACTATTGTTTAAAATAGAAATTGGCTGATAAGAAAAATGCATAAAAAGATTAATTTAAAAAATAATTTATGATGTGACAATCTATTGAGATTGGAAATGTATAATTTATCAGGGCCAGTCCAATATTATTAATCAATTTTGTCAATTATTATCATACTATAGAGATACACAGTGTATTATTAAATTTAATCCTAATAAACTTTGCCCAAACAATCAATTATGCAAGCGAGTAGAAAGAATCTAAAGAATTCAATGGACATGCCGGAATAGACAAATTATAAGGGTACCATTTAATCCAGCAATTATTTTCAAAATAAGCAACCTAGTGTAGGTAAACAAACATAAAATTTGTGTAATGAAGGCCAAACAACATCATTATTATTTATACTTTTTCATCCAAACAAATTTTCCTCCTAAATACATTATTGGGTAAATGGCAGATATGGCAAGTAAATATAATGTTAATCTTTCATTTGATATCATGAAACAATAATTATTGGTTTCACTTTCTATAGTATAATTATTAATTATCCTACAGAGATTAGATGCAGTTAAATTCTGATAGAATTCATTCTCCAATATATTCTTACCTTGTAAGTTTATAGATCATCCTCACAAATAAATAACTACAACATCCCCCCAAATATGCACTATAACCCGCACTTCTGGGTTCTGCCTTTGCGACATATTCGAGTGCTAAAATTACAACTGATAGTTTTGGATCAATGACACATTTTCCCTCTGCAACGAATCGGAAAGGTGCAAAAAAAGCATACTAAAACGATTTAATCGCACTCTGGTCCAGAACAGAAGTTTGGCAACAAATCAAGAACATGAGTGGAGTTTATTTATAGACATAATATTGCAATTTGGTATTTTTGTTTAGCTAGGACATGAGGTTTCTCTATTGTTTGGTCATAACGAGTGTTAGATATTGAAACAATTATTGCGTTTCTTGTTTTCAATATAATAAGTATAACAATTAATGGTTAAATCTAACAAACACATATTTATCTGCGCATTTATTTACCTAAAAATAATAAAATTAACTTTTATCAGCAAATTAAACCATTATTAGCTTCACCACAAACATGAATTTATCTAATAATTACCACCATGGTCAATAACACCATGGGCTAATTTTTAGTTTATCTTCGAAGGAGAATAGAAGTATTGTGTGGGTACAGCGTAACGAACGTACTATATTATCATCTTGTATCAGTACCGCTGGGACGTCATTGATGCTGCCATTTATGGGCTAATGATGGCCGTCTACAAAAAACGAAATAAATGCAATCCTACACATGATGTTGGTAATAAATAGTCTGGTACAGATTAGAGAGTGTTGTTGGAAACAAATACATATTAGGTTTTGTTGGATTGTTTGATATTTTATTTTCAATATCGAATAGCTAAGGTCAAAATGATTTAGAAGGTCACTTGCCTTTTAGGTAATCAGTATGATGTACTATTGTAATGATATTCACATTTCTAATTGACACATTACACTGATTTTTGCATAATAATATACCCTATTTACCTAACAAGTATTCGAGTATATAATTTATTCAAATCTATAGTTTCTTATTATTGCTGCCTACTGTTTATGTTTCACTAGACAGGATTTTGTAAAAATAACTAGCTTTCTTTGTTTCAACTTATTTCTGATAATTGATTGACGTGTACCTACAGCCTGCAATTACATTTAGAAAATGGAATTTATAAGTTTCGTGCAGAATTCCATTATTTAACAAACTGTGATCATGAATGAAGTATTGATTTTCAGACTTCATGGTTTATAATTACCTGACAAAAAACTGCAAAATTCTTTGATAGCCAAGTAACTTATATTGTAAATATGCGAGTAAATATGTATATACAAGGTGTTTCACGAACATTGAAACAGAGGTGTTTTGGAGTACTTTGAGGTCGATTTAAAAAAACGCTCGGATACGTCAATTTTGTATTCAAAGGGGAAAGTTTTTGACTCCATCGGTATTTCGCTAGGGTGCACCTCCTGGGTGGGCGACTTTCACCCCTCTTTTTTAGATAGGGAAGATGGGTCGAGTGGTACTTTGTTTTAAAGGTATTTTGATTCTCGTCACAACTGCGATTTTTTTTGAAAATCGAATAATTACAGTTTATTTTTTCCCAAGATAGATTTTGAAATTGTCAACTTTGGAACATAAACAATGTCGCTAAAGGCGCGTTTTCACGGGTCGATCTGAGTTGAACGATTTGTGTCGATCATTGAATCGAAAGCAAATTGAACATGTAAACCACAATGCACAATGACATCAAAACACAGATAGACCGAACAATAAACAAAATTTTGCAATGACAACATCTCTCTGTCTCTTTTGGGTCTTTGTGCTATCCCCACCACTGAGAATGCCAAATTTTGTCTTGAATCCCTAAATAATATATTTTTCTCCTCTAATTAACATTTTCAATTTTATTTCTGAACTCAATTTGGCAACAGCAGATTATAGCAAAACACCGCCCAGAAGCGGCTTGTTGAATGGCAGGCAGGTGTTGATTGTAGTAGCTAGCTATCTTTATTGCAAACAGGGATTATTCATTAGCGTTAAACAAGAAACGACTAACACGATATTGGTACTCCCAGAATAAAGGGCTCGTATCGAATATTTTCAGTTTATTTGTCAATTTGTTATTTTATTTATTCATCCAATTAAATTTCGAGATATATTCACGTGTGGGCGGGGTTTTTTACACCATTTTGAGCAATGATGTCTCCCTACCCCAACCCCGCGAGCAACTCACCTACCCTGGCCCATGGGTGGTCTTGTCAACACAACAAATAATAGTTTATGAATGGGATGATCCGTCTATCTGTGTTTTGATGTCATTGGTAAACCACCTTTCGGCTTGGCCGTTCCACGGAGAGAGTCAATTCGACCGAAGTAGAAAGGTTGTCTACTTTTACAGGCGATCGTCGCCGAATCGAAGTCGAACGTCTGGAATCGAATGTGTAAACACCTCGCCGAAAGAAAACAAAACGTGCCGAACGCTGAATGGTGTTATTTAAAGTTTTTATTTTGGGTGCAACATACATCGCCCATCGTCTATCGTGTAAACCTTTTTGTTTTCAACACAGATCGAACGATGGTCGAACGACCCAGGCCGTTCAACTCAGATCTACCAGTGAAAACGCGCCTTAATGCCTCTTATTGGTCGCAAAATGCCATTTCCACGACATGCATTGTAAAACTGATGTCAACCTGAAGGGACATCTCATTTTGCGACCAATCAGGGCCAAGCGTTATTGTTTATGTTTCAAAGTTTTCAATGTCAAAATTTATCTTGGGAAAAAATAGAATGTAGTTCTCGAGATATTCACTGTCAAAGTTGTCATGGGATAAATGAGAATGACTTTTCTGGTCCTGTTATTCCCAAATTGATACTTTCCCGACTTTTCTCTCGGACACGTCAATTTTATTTTTTTTCAGAAACACACAAAAAATTAAAATTGACGTGTCCGAGAGGAAAGTTTTTAAAGTGTTAATTTGATAATAACAGGGCCAGAACATTGTTCCTAATTTAGCCCATGGCAACTTTGACAGTGAATACATTGAGAACTAATCATTCGATTTCCAAAAAAAAAACGCAGTTGTGACGAGAATCAAAATACCTTTAAGACAAGTTATCACTCGACCCATCTTCCCTATCTAAAAAAGAGGGGTGAAAGCGAAGGTGAAAGTCACCCCACCCAGGGGGTGCACCCTAGCGAAATACCAATGGAGTCAAAAAGTTTCCCCCTTGAATATAAAAATGACGTGCCCGAGCGTTTTTTTTAAATTGACCTTAAAATACCCTAAAACGCCTCTGTTTCGATATTCGTGAAACACCCTGTATAGGTCTTATAGTCCAATACTGATTTCAAATCATTACTCAAATTTTCTTGCTTTCAAAGAAAATAGAATGTTAAATCAGAGCAGAGTTTGGAATTGGTAAATGTAAGTTATTATTAGTGTGTGTTCTGGTATTGTACCTCCCCTCCTCAGGTTCCAGACCAGAATATTTTTCATGTATGAAACAGATAGTTTTTTTTTTTTTTTTTTTTTTTTACGGATATGCGCACTCGCAAGGAAATGTCCTATCACGCTCGAGAAGCGGAAGTTTCTAGAATGAACAAAGATGGCACAGTTAATATTTTTTCCTTTTTGAACAAAGGTTGACAGTGTGCACGGTTTTTAGCTCTACACAAATACCGCACTGCCCTTTTTTGCAAAACGAATATAGAATTCAGCAACTGCCCGCTTGTGAATCCCCAAAAAGCAATACCATATCGTACATGAGACTCGAACATGGAGAAACACACCATTTTAGCAGCCAAATTACTAAGCTCATTACATACAACTCTTATTGCAAAGCAACCAGGACTGGAACTCTGTAACGGATAGAGATCGTTTTCGCTATCACTATGGCACCCTCTATCCTTTTCTCTCTTTTCGGAATCAATAGAGAGGGGACGTCAATAAAGATAGAGAAAATATCCTTATTTGTTACAGAGTCCCAGTACAGCTGCCAATCTGTTACCTAATTGATTAATATGTTCGTGAAACTTTAGTCTATCGTCCAACATAAGCCCCAAGAATTTGACAGTGCATTTACTTGCAATAGACCAATTTATAAGGTTCAAATTTGCAAAGTCAAAACCAAAGTTTGTTTTGGACATATTAAAACAAAGTAGGTTTGTATCACACCAAACCTTTAGCTTTTGCAAATCGCTATCAATCATTAGTCAAGTTTTCTTTGCTCTTGTCATGCCACACAAGACTGGTGTCATCCGCAAATGAAGTGAATGAACCTTGAATATCTAAGAAAGCCAATTGTTCAGGTATATCAAAAACAAAATTGGTCCCAACCCTGTGGATTACCTCTTGCAACAAGGGAGTTGCTAGAATATACCTCGTCCACTTTTACGATTTGTTTTCTTCCAGAAAGATAGGATGAAAACCATTCCACTGCAATGTCACCAAAGCCGTAACAAAGAAGCTTTCGCAGCAACACTTCATAATCCACACAATTGAAAGCTTTTGAAAAATGACAGAATGTTTCCGCAACCGTCTCCCCGCCATTTATACTTAGATAAATTTCGTGGAGTAACGAAAAAATAGCATCATCAGTACTTTTGCCCGGGATGAAGCCAAATTGAACAAAACTTTTGTCTGTGATTATCCAGAAATTCCATCACTCTCTGCTTAAAAAAAATTCAATTACTTTTGAGAGTGTTGGCAAAAGAGAAATAGTCCTAAAATTAGAGGGATCACCGGAGTTGCCTCCCTTAAACAGTGGAATCACCATTCCCTGCTTTAAACATGTTGGAAACGAACAATTAATACACTATACTAATGTCTAAAATTAGAGGGATCATCAGAGTTGCCTCCCTTAAATAGTGGAATCACCGCTCCCTGCTTTAAACATGTTGGAAACGAACAATTAATACAATATACTAGCGTTTGTAAGGCACAATCTGCAAAGTTTTCCAGTATCCTGACAGAAATCCCATCATATACTGCAGAAGATTTATTTTTTAACCGTGAATTTTTACTGCTTAGAGAAATCAGCAGCAACTGACAAAAAGTGGCTTTTGCAGTGCGCCACTGAACGCGATTGTTTTCCCAACTACTCAACTGTTGGCAACAGTTGAGTGCTGGTGAACGTACCCATTATTTTTTACCATGTCTGCCTTTCCCCTTATCCTATTTATTATTTCCCAGTTTTAAGGGTTTTTT